GGCCTTGGACTCAGGTGGGCTCGCTGCAAGTTCCAGCTCTGGGACCTCAGGTGAGCTGCCTAACCTCAACGGTGGTGATACTACCTCCATCTCCAAGGACTGAGGGCCAAGATGAAGTGATGTGGGGAAGTGCGTGGCACAAGGCCCGCAGACCGGCTATCAAGAAACATGGTACTTGTTCGAAAGGTCTTCCTGAAAAGCACTGTGGCAGAGACCAGCTCAAATCATGGAGCGTCTTCCAAAATGATACCTACTAGGTTAGCGTTCTTTAGAACAGAAACGTTCAGGTTAACTGTGATATTCTTTATCACTTATATTCTTTTACCTAACTTTCATATGTGAAAACAGCGAGCTTAGAAACAAGGAGTAATTTACAAAGGTTTAAAAACCACTATGGTTGGAACAATGAGCTTTTGTTCACTGCTGGGACCAGAGCTGGTGTATCCGCTCTGGAAAACCAGCAGGACCTACTGATGCTACACCTGTGCATGCCCGCTAGCTCTTGGATACACACCCAACTTCAATTCTTGTACCCTTGCACACCAAAAAGACACAGCAGTGGCCTTCACAGCTCCAAGTTGGAAAGAATCTAAATTTCCACCAGGCAGATGAATAAACTATGGGATATCCACAAACAGAACACCACAGAGCAACGAGAAAGAGGTGCAATTATCTGATACCATGGATGATCTCAAACTAAATGCTGAATAACATAAGCCAAGAACAAGAGTACATACTGAGTGGTACCAATTACAGAAAGTTCAAAAGTAGGCAGAACCGATGCATGGTTAGCAGTTACCCTCGAAGGGCGAACAGTCATTGGAAAGGGGCATCTGGTGGGTTTCTGGAGCGGTAGCAGTGTTGGTTTCTTATTCTGGATGCTGTTTATGTGCGTGTGCCCAATTTGTGACAATCCAATGAGCAGTTTACTTCTTGGCATATTTATATGTTCACACCTTTTAGGTCAATACAAAGTTTTAAAAATATGGTATAAAACTTTAAATTGATAATTTTATTAGTTTATTTCCCCCATTTGTCTAAGAAGGATTTAAGAAAGCACACGTTAACGTGTTTCCCTAGACTTAGCTGAAACAGACAGGCTTACTTTCACTCCTGGGAAGCATAAGCTCCGCAAGGGCAGATACTAAAGCTGCTTATTGTGGTTTCCTTGGCACAGCAGCTATCAAAGAATTAACTGAATTAACCAGGGATTATGGGATTTTTCCATTTAAAAGCTACTTGGGGCACTCTTACAGCCTGTCAGTCCTACAGGGCAAACACGCCACGGTACACAGAAGGAGTCATTTCCCAGGGTGTTCCTACTGGGGAGCTTTTACACTTGCTACCAGGCTGCCCGCAGGCTCACCTCCTCGTCCTTCTCTGTGGATTCACATCTACGAATAAGAAAGTGGGACGTGAGGAGGACAGATGCTTGGAGTCATGGAGATCCACCCACGGAAGTCTGACCCAAGTGCTGTCTGACTCTGCTGGACAAGATTCATCCCGAGAGCCACTTCTCTCAACTCAGAGTAACAGACAAACTAATGTATGGCCCACAGCTGCGTGGGATCCCATGGTGATCGGAGTCCGTTCAAATTACTTTCTTTTTTTAAGATTTTATTCATTTATTTGACAGAGAGAGACAGCGAGAGAGGGGACACAAGCAGGGGGAGTGGGAGAGGGAGAAGCAGGCTTCCCGCCGAGCAGGGAGCCCGATGCGGGGCTCGATCCCAGGACCCTGAGATCATGACCTGAGCCGAAGGCAGACGCTTAACCAACTGAGCCACCCAGGCACCCCAAATTATTTTCTTTTAAGGTAGACATGGAGGATGGGACTTGGGAAACATTTTTAACTGACCTCTGGGGTAAACTGTCTGAAGTTTATTACTTTGTTAAACAATCTTCGATATAGTAAAAATTTTGTAAAACTCAATAAAAGAATCTATTTAATTACTATGACACACTGTTACCATTTATAAATGTCCAAGCAAGCTATTATGAAGTTAAATTTTATTGGCCTCTTTGGTAGCCATATTACACATGTATAAAATGCAAAGTCAAACTCCATTTCTGACTGAAAAAGAAAAACACAGAACAAATTAACGCTCAGTGGCCTGTGCTAACTACAGAGGAGATCCATAAATCACAGCCTAGGCATGTTACATAGTCGTGTGCGCGTGTGTGTATGAAATTGTTATATTTAGTTCTAAAAATTCACCTTGGATAGTTCTTGGAATTACTTTACCTAAAGGAACAGGCCTTCAGTGAACCCTGACGTGAGGGTCACGCACGAAGCCATAACTGGAGCGGCCGTGGGGCCCCACTGTGCACGGGCCCCTGGCCTGCGGGTGCGCGCGGCACCGAGGTGAGTATGACGATCCCTGCCCTCAAGGAGCCTCAGTCTAGTAGGGCTGAGACATACTAGACTGTGAGCTCCTCGAGGGCAGGAAAGGTGCTGTAGTCCTCTTGGCCCAGAGACCGGGCCCCAGGCTCAGCTCTCGTGCTGCTCACAGTGAACACGGGGCAGCCATCTGGGGCAGTGCAGGGTGAACACGACAAGAAGAACAAAGTGCTCTGGAGACTCCGCGGGCGGAGGCTTGTCGGCTGTGGAGCCACGGAGGAGCCGGCATGTGAAAGCAGCCGAGAAAGAGGAGTAGAATTTCACCGGGAGGAGAAGGAGGAGTTCCAGGCCGAGGCGGGTTAGTGCGGTCACAGTGTGAGAAAGGGGTGGGGACATACCATCGGGCCAAGATGGAAGGAATCTTCAGTCTACTCTGGAAGCCTCTACCTAACACAGGAGTCACGGGAGCCCACTGAGGGCTGTTCGAGCAAGGGAGCCACTCATCCACAGCGATGTTTCAGAAGATCAACTAAGGGGCCATGCCAGATGGGTGGACAGTCGAGGTGGAGGAGCAAGGGAGGGGGTGCCCAGCTGGTCAGCTGGGGGCGGCGAGGAATTCCCGCTCACTCCAAGACGGAGATGAACACAAAGGCACCTTTGGGGCCTATCGAAGGTGAGGGCCAGGGGCTGCCTGGGAGGCAAGGCAACAGATTTATTTTAGGATGAACGTGACGCTCAGCAGCGATGCGAACGCGGCTCTGGGCCTTGTGAGAAAAGGCAGGATGGAAGCTGAAGGCAGACAGAGGTGAGAGGTTGGCACGGCCCAGAAAGCACACTGAGAGAAAGGAGGGCGGCCCAGGACGGGCGTGTGCGCAGCACGCAGGGCGACCGTGAGGGAGCAGCAGGTCGGGGCGTAAAGGAGATGTCTGGGAGGCAAGCAGGTGGAACGATGGAACTGGTGTCAAAGAGGGGAGGAATCTCAAGGACAGAATCTGTCTAATTCTGAGGAAAGATCAAGGAGGAACAAAAAAATGTATGAGCAAAACATGAAATAAAGCATGTTCAAAATCCAGCTCTAGTGAGTGAGAGCATGTATCATGAATTGTATGAGAATTAAGAACCTGGAGATTTTTAGCTTGAAGAAAGCTGTGTAAAAACACCCGAAGGACTGTCACATGGAAGACAGAGCTGTGCTGTCTATGGGGCCCGAGAGGGTGGGACCAGGCCGGCAGGTGCGCAGCACGGGGCCAAGGAGGAGCCCATTCCGGAGTGTGCTGCTCATCGTATGGTGAGGAACGGCTGACCCATCTCCCCAACCGGGCCAAGTCCTGCAAACGCTGGGGGCAGGACTGTGTTTTGTTCACAGTTGAGTCCACAGAACCTGACTTAGAATAAAGTGGGAGCTTAGCCAATAATTCCTGACTGGGTGAATCTTTTCTACCTCTCCCGGTTAGCCTTCATTCTTCCGTGAAACACGCTCCCTGCCTGGAGCCTTGGCTAGCAAGCTGAGCTGCCTGAAGATGAGCTGGGGCTACAGGCAGTCTAGAAGGCTTCAAGCACTGGGGGACAAGATGGGCCAGAGGAGCCACCGGGGTCTTCTGGACCCTGATGTTTGGTAATTTTCTATGAAAAAAGACGAAGATACACCAAGTTTTAAAAATGTCGCACAGCATCAGGGAAATATAAAGACAGGTGATACGGCACACGTTACACCATGGTGTTGGTTACACGCTAATACTCCCATGTGTATGTACCACATTAAAATACCTTGTTTATTACAGAATTGAGTCTCAGTCTAGACTTCCATTCGACAACTGTTTGTTGAGCACGTGTTAGACGCCTGCGCCGGGGCCACAGAAACAAGTAAGACACAGTGATGCCCATGGAGAGCTTAGAGCCCGGTGGGGGACCTAGACGTGCAAATGGGAAATTCTCCAGGCCAGATGGCACGGTCAACTCTGTGCAGACACTTTGAGGGGCTCAGCACACTAACAGGTCCCTGCGTGCTCCCTCTAAGGAACCAGGAGCTACTGGAGGTTTGGGTCTGGCCGTGGCTGGCACAAATCAGGAGCCATGAAATGGCAGCTGAATAGGTCATGTGGATGTTCTGATGACAACAAACAGTAGCATCGAAAAGGTGCCAAAGAGTGGCTATCTGTTTGGGGGCAGGGCCAACCAGGGCAGTCCCCTGAAGGAGCTAACATCTGAGCTGGATTCTGAAGACCACAGAAGTGGTTAGCAGGTGGCACAGCTGGGGGAAGGCGTCCCTGGGAGAGAAAACAGCACGTGAGAGATGGCAGGCCATGCTGGGAGAAGCCTAAGCAGTTAGGAGCGTGCTGGAGATGGAGGAGGAGTGGAAGATGGAACTGGATGGGCAACTAGGGACCAGGTTCTCATGGATCTTGTAAGCCATGCTCAGTCAGAAGTCAGGGGATGAGAGATCTGATCCTAATCTGAAGTTTATTAAGATTTTAAGATCTAATCTCCTGAGGATTCTAGCAAGGCATAAATAAATGCAAACCAGTTAATAAGTAATTATGTTTGCCGGAGAAGAGGTTAGCCTTAGCCGTCCTGACAGAATGACCTCAAACGCTACGACTGCATGGGAGAAGCCGCATGAGCCTGCCCCAGCCCCGGCCCTCACTCCCCCCACTCCTACCTGAGCTGAGCTTTGAGCTCAGTGAACCGGGGCCGCCTGCTGGGGTCATAGGCCCAGCATTTCGTCATAAGGCTGTAGAGGGTAGGAGGGCAATTTGGAGGCATTGGTAATCTCTCCCCATTCTCAATTCGACCGATCACATCATTGTTCTTCACTCCTTGAAAAGGCTTCACACCATGCATCAGTATCTCCCACATACATACACCTGTGAAGTGGGAATGAAAACAGAACCGTGAACTTGGTGGGAAGAGAAGAATGCCCATGTTTCAGGAGTAATTCCATAGCTGGCACAAGAGGACCAGCTGTGTGATTTTGGGCAAATCGGCTAAATAAAGCAGCATTCAATGAACTCTGTTATAAATAAGAATAGCAATATTAATTTAATATGACACAAATAATTAAATATTAGGTTATTTTCCAAAAAATCCCCAAGTTTTTCTAAGAGGTTTACTTCTCTAAAAATCCTGTGTTAGAAAATGGCCCACCAGGTAGTGATCCTTCACGGTTTAATGAACCAGTTCAAAATGGGCTGAATGAATTTTCCCTTGCCCTCCACTGCAATCCAGCCTGCTGATGATTACGGCAGCTGACCTGAGGCCTACCAAAAGAAAATACTAAAATTTAAGCCTTACACCTTTAGAATACTCAGACTCCTTTCACGAGGTAGCCCATGCCTGGCTAGGGTGCACTCGGCACTGCCATCTAGCTTATGCACGAGTTGGTCAGGGGGTCCATGTCCCCACAGGCAAGCTCTGGACTTCCCGGGCTGCAGTGGCCCTGCCCACAGACCCCTCACTCACATTCCACCCTGGCAGACTACATGCTTTCTCGGTGTCCTCTGAACAACACTTGAAAGCTCACTTTGAAAGTAAACGAGCGCACAGAGCCTAAGGTGGAGAATGACAACCACACGCTCCGGCTGGCGGGGACAGTGGGTGGCTTCGCATGTCTCGCAGGCTGATCTGGCAGCCTTGCCACCCTGGCACGCACGCCTTTGCTTGTGCTAGCCTCCCCACACTTAGAGCCCCTTTCCTTCTCTTCCGCACGAGTGCTTCTCTTTCTGTGTGCGTGCCTCCTGCCAGCCCCGGGCAAGCCCTGGCTCGGGCCCCGTCCTCCCTGCACACCGTGTCACGGGCTTGAGGAGAGGCACCTTGCTTCAGTGTCTTCAGCACCTACAGCGGGGTGTGCCTCAAAGGAAGCAAGGCACATTATCCCACCAACATGAATGGCATTCTGACGTTTTCCGAATTCTCGTCGTTCCAGAGTGAAGAGTATATGACAAAAATAACGCCTTAGTTCTGCATTTCTCACCAGAAATTATGACATCATTACTGACAACAGCGCATCATTTCTCCACACCTTAATATGTTTCTGGCATCCCCTCTTTGAAATTTACATATATTATCCTTACACCTTACATTTCTTTAAACGCTGTACTTGATCAAATCTAAGATGCCACTGATTATAAAATACAACATTATTTTTATATGACCAAAAATGGGGGAAAATACTGCCAACTAAGTTATGGCACCATCCTCTGTTACCTCTTGGAATTACTTTGTTCTTACCAAACACATTCAGACAAGGAAGTAACACTGGGATGAACAAAGTCCATACGAGTGCAGGCAAGGAGGCCACAGAAGACACATCCCCAACTAACACCGACTATAAAATGCCACTGATCTAGGACACCAGTTCCAGAGAAGTTACAATGTGAAAAAAACAGGCATCTTAGAATCTTTGAAAACTGAAATTTCCTTGACAGGAACTGGCTCTCTGGGTCACACAGCGGATGAGCGAGGTCCTGGGAAGTAAAGCCACATCAGTTGGACCCCAGAGCCCTTTCTAAACCGTGTCACACTATTTCCTGCTCTGGCGAAAAGCTCCTTCCTTCACCTGTTATCACTTAGGGCACTAGATGAAACCAACAGCAAGAAAGCAGAAGAAAAATAACACATACTTGATGTATGTTATTTTTAATTATCGGGGAAAAAAGGTACATAACCTTATCAAGGCATCTCTTCTGAAGTAGTTTAAAATCTAGCAGAGAACACACGCACACAAGACTGTCCACAAGATCAACGTGTGAGTGTTACGGCAGAGAGAGGAAGTGCAGGGAACACAGAGGAAGGGAGGTTATGCCTGGAAGACACACCAGCTACATAAGGCTTCTTTAAGAGGGGACATTTCAGGTGACGCCGAAGGTTAGGATTTCACCCGCGGACAGGGTGTTAGGACAACATGTTCCCGGCGGAAGGAGTGACGCCAGAAGAGTGGGGTGGGGAAGGAGTATCATCCACATGGAAAGGGGAGAGTGATTTAAAATTTGATGAAGTAGTTGAAGTAAGTAGTGCCGAATGAGCGAGGGCCACGCTGTCACGGTCAGAAGGTAGCACAACCCCAGAGCAGGACAGCAACCGGCTCGGAGCAGGCGGGATGGCACAGAGTAGGCGTTAGAACAGACGCCGCAGGAGACAAAGGATCAAACTTGCAAAAGCCTTGAGACAAGTCAGGAAGGAGGCTGAAGTCCGGGACAACAAGGAAAACACCACGGTGGGTGTTCTGGAGCTGAGGGCTAGCACGGAACCGGAGCGCAGGTCAACCACTTAAAGTCATTCACGGAGAAAGAATGGAGGAGATGGCAGCGAGAAGGGGAGGAGAGGAGGAAGGAAGGAGCTAGGACCGCTCCCAGGGAGGGGTGCAGGGATGGCGCAGGGAGGCGGAGAGGCCTGGACAGGGGAGGGCGACTGGGGCAGTGGGACCTCACAGGGGCCACCCCCAAAGCTGGCGCTCCATGTGCTCCCACGACTGTCGAAGGAGCCAAGAGGACGTCTGTGAAGGAGCGCTCGGGCAAGGGAAGGCAGACTAGCCTGCATACTCCGGAAAGAGCTAAGGCTAAGTCTGTTTTGTAGAGTATACGAAATACAATTTAAAAACACAAAACTTTTCAAAATACTCACCAAACATCCATACATCACTAGCTGAGGTAAAACGTCGAAAATTGATGGACTCTGGAGCCATCCACTTAATTGGCAATTTTCCTTTGGAAGCTAGAAGATTAATTTTAGAAAGTGAATTTTCCTTGTTATCTGTTCAAGGATCTAAGTTATAGCTAGCTGAGATTTTTAGTATCAAAACAAAAAGCTTTAAATATCTGACCCTTTGGACTTTCTGTTTATTTGGAAGAACTACTTTTTGTTTCCTTGGTGTGGTGAGGTCGTCTGGAGTGATCTGGTCAGCCTGTGGCAGGGAAACAAAGCACTGCAGCCCTCCTCTGTGCGGAGAGGTGGGGGACGAGGGAGGGCGAGGCAGCCCCATTAACTGGTACTCCCAGCTTGCAGCTTGGTTATGGAACAGATCCTGACCCACCAGCTGGAACCTCTGCTGACGACACCCAGTCGGTTCCACAACCACTGAACCACTGTTCCTGGGGGAAATGTGTACATGCGCATACACGTCTCACCCAGATTACAATCTTAAACCCTGAAAACAACTCAACCTGGTAGGTTCTCTTTTCTTTAGAAAACGAGGTTCAGACACGTTAGGTGACTTACCTGAGGCCACCCCACCGCCAGGTGCCCGAGCAGGAGTTCAAGGCCAGAGGGGCTCAAGCTATCCTGCCCCGGCCCCCCGCCCCCCCTTTCCATCCTCCCGCAGAGACAGGCTCTGGTCTCCACTGCTCCGTGCGTGCGAACACGTGACTATGAAAGCACTATGAGTATGACTTCGGGAGCTACAAATTTTAGCAACTACGCGAAGGCACGATATGGAATATGTAACGAGGACAACTATACCTTCACTGGTATGTAAAGAGCAGGACAGGAGATGGATGGAATGAAAATGTATACTTCTTAGGTGAGCCTAAATCGTCCTTCTCTTGAGGTCTAACAAACCTTCCTTCTGTGCCATAAAGGAAACTCACCACCTCACGGAACATTCCTTCAACTGCTGGGATACAAGAGGAACAGCCCAGAGTACCTTTCCTCAAGGAGCTCTAATTCTAAAAGGTATGGTACGGGGTGTGACACAGACACTGAGTAAATGCCGGATGCCCTGGGAGCAGAGGAAGCCCACAGCTGAGCGGTGTGTCCGAGAAGGCAGCAGGGGCGCGGGAGTCCACGGTGGGGGAGCCCCGGTTCATGGAGGTGCCTGTGCTCTGCCAGCCTCATCCGGACTTCCTTCTGTGAGCAACACGTGCCTTTGAGCACCTTCAATCAGGAGACAACTTCATTCGAGTCATTTCTTTTTTCCCACTTAACTTCGAGCACCTTCCTGACAAGTGAAGTCAAATCCTCTGTTCAATTCCTTCCAAACAAACTACTCTACCCCTGTGTCGTGAATAAAGGATCCCCAACCTTTTGGGGGTGTTCTCCCTTAGCCTAATGGAATCTGCACTTACTGACCTGAGCTGACAACAAATACATGAATTTGTCAACTGCTCATTTTAAATGCTGTCTACGCGATATGAAGCCTCAGTCATCATGCTGTTTGGAGGTCAGCTCTTTACTGGGAGTCCAGAACCTGGACCCGTCAGGGCTTGAGCTGGATAGGAAATGAATTTAAAAACAGCAGAAAGCTGGCTTGGTCATTTTTATGTTAAATGACTAACTGAAATGAATGAGCAACCCAAGAATTCTCTTTTCACGTAGCAGAAAAATCTCTGTTAAAAGTGTTTCAAGCTGTAGTATACAGAAGGCATATGGAAAGAGAACAGTCATAAGCCATGGTATAAAATGAAGGGAACAAGTTCTGTACGTAAAAATCTGGCCTCATTTTGCCACAATATAAGAATTTAAAAAACTGAGAAAGAAACTGGCTCTTTAAAGTGGTAGTAAGAACTAGAATATACACTAAGAGCATAATATGGATTTATAATCCAAACCTTAGCTGAAATACTAGGAATATAAACATTTGTTAATAAAAATATTTGTTCAATAATTTAAAGAACCAAGTCAAACTGATTCCAAAATTGGCAAAACTAAAGGAGAACCACCTGAGCTGGATTTCAGCTCTAAAACCAATTGATCAAAGTCTCTAGAGTTAGCAGATTGGAGATTTTTCAGTCTGATTGCTTCCACCGAGTCGACGCACCCAGCCCCACTCGTGTGAGGTGTCTATGTTTGCCAGTTGAAGAACGTCTGGGCTGATTCCAATTTTTGGCTACTGGAAATAAAGTTGCAATGAACATTCAATATGCAGGTTTTGTGTGAATGTCAGTTTTCCTTTCTCTGCGAGAAGTAAGTACCCAGGAGTGTAACTGCTGGACTGTATGGTAGCTGCATAGTTAACTTTTAAAGGATCCGCGAAACTCTTCCAGAGTGGCTGTACCATTGTACGTTCTCACACGCAAGTTTTGAGTAATTCAGTTTCTCTGCATCTTTGCCAGCATTTGGTGTTATCACTCGTTTTAATTTTAGCCATTCTGACAAGTGTGCAATGTTACCTCGTTGTGGTCTGAGCCTCTGCCTGGGCTTCTCTGCCCTCCGCGTATCCTCTTCAGTGAAGCCTCTCTTTCCACTGTTTGTCCATGTCGTATTCTTGGTTTCTGTTTTCCCTGCTGAATTCTGAGAGCTCACTGCACACCGTGGACACTAGTCCTTTGTGGAAAGGCTTGTGGTTGTAGGCGGGCACTGTGCCTGGCAAATATCCTCCAGGTCTGCACCTTCCCTTTCCACCCTCTTAACAGGGTTTTTTGTGGAACTAAAACTTTTAATTTTGATGAGGTCCCATCTATCAAGTGTTTCTTTTTATGGGTCATGTTTTTGGTGTCAAGTCTAAGGACCTTTTGTCTAGCCCTAGATCCCAAAGATTTACTCCTATGTTTTTCCTAAAAGTTTTATAGCTTTATGTTTTATAATTAAGTCTATGATCCACTCTGAGTTAATGTGGGGTGAGTCAAGCTGAGGTCCATTTTTTGTCTCTGGATGTCAGACTGTTCCAGCCCCACGGATTGAAAAGGCTGTCTTTCTTCAACTGAACTTATTTTATGCCTCTGTCAAAAATCAGCTGAGCTTATTAGGACACAACTTTTTAAGAAATAAAAAATCATTAAAGATTCTGAGCTTATTGCCTCTTTATTGCTCTGATTCCTTACCTTTGTAGTAAGTACTGTCTTCCATATATCGGGATAATCCAAAGTCTCCTAGTTTTACGCAATCATTCGAGGACACCAGAACATTCCGAGCAGCAATGTCCCTGATAAGGAAGAATGTGGGATAAGAAATTTTAATAACAAGGAAAAAACAAACCCACAAACTCATCTATATTACATAAAGACATACTGATAGGTACTTTGAAAGACAGCTTATAGACAATGCAAACAGATTTATTACACACTGAAAAAAAAGACACTTTTATGATTTAACTTCAAATATATTCCTTTTGGCAGATATTTACTCATTAATATGACAATTAGTATTTTGAACGACAGCAAAGTATACTCTCAAATAACAAATATTTGAGAATAAGAAATAAAAAAGGAATTATTACTTTTCATATAATCATATTACCACCTCCATTAACAGACAGACAGGGATGCACGGCTGGGATCTGTAACCCTGCTGCTACTAAGAGATCTCATCACCTAAAATAAAAGCCATCATCTAAACCCTTGTAAACGATTTTGCTCACAGAATTTATTTTCATGCTGGGTAATAAAGTAGTGGGCAAACTGTAAGGGCTTTCCCTTGCATTCAAACTAGGGACCCGGATGAGAAATAGAAATTCCACAGAATGCCCACAGATGTCACTCATGACCCTCTGGGGTCTGGGGAATTCCCAGGACAGGGTCTGTTTTAGTCTACATGCTCACTGTTCTAGGGCCGTGTACAGTCTCTCAATAGCATCTGCAGAAGAGAGAACTGGCCTGAAAGCAAACAAATGTTTCCATGTGAGGAAAACCCTCTAACTGCGTACAAACAGGCCATGGGTCTTCCCTGGGCCAGGACAGGTGCTGCCTGACTTTCTGGCATTGTCTACATACGGCAGAGTCCAGTGGTATGAAGAATCACAGGGCACAGCGAGTGTCTCCTTGCTCCGGTTTCCCCACTACCACCCTGTCCCCTCTCCAGAGGGCAGCTGACCAGCTTTATGACTGGATCTTACCTGTGCACAAATCTTTTGCTCTCCAGATACGCGAGGGCTGTACTAAGCTGATAGGCATATAGGATCAAAGACGCCAGATCCAAACTGTACTTCCTTACTTGCAGAAATGACCTCAGCTTTTGGAACAGTGACCAAGATAAAAAAGAATTAGTGACAGAGAACAGAAATCAACAGCAAAGGAGCTACATTCAACAATGCTGCCCATTTCCAAATATACTTTTATGAGAATGGCTTCAATTCTCCCCTAAAACAAAGGGGCAGAATGAAACATACTAGCTCAGAAATTATGATTAATCATTCTTTATTTGAATCCTATTATAAAACTGAAATCTTTGTGACTGTAGACAAATTTCTGAAAAAATACAGAAAGATGCTGCAAGGAAATGAACAGAAGTGTGAACTACTGCTAGATTAAGAGCTAGGGAGACAAACAGACGGAGTTACCCCTCACACGGCCAGCATTCCTGCACCCCACACTTCGCTGTACCCCAGGCAGACCTGAGGATAAGGTGACGAGGAGGAAGGGGAGGCAAGAAGTTCTCCCATCCTCCTCCAGGAAGTTTCGGGTACAGAAAGGTGTTGGTATTTACCCCACGGGGCTTATCAGTCCTATTACTACTGTCACGACCAGTTCAGCTAAATGCTAGCATGGCAAAGGAAGACAGATGATTGAACCCTAATTCTACAAAATCTATACATAAAGGAGAAAGTTTTAGTAATAGTTTAAGCCAGGAAAACTGGCAAATTCTCCAAAAGCAAAAGCAGAAAAATATTGTGAACAAAAAATGTATGTAAGCACTCTGTTTGATTTGGAAAGGTGGGGCAGAGGAAGAAGAGATGTTATAGAGGCCTGAAGTCATTTCATCCAGCAAACTAGGTTATCGAGCGCAGAGGAGAGCAGCAGGAAGCCCGCAGGGGGAGGGAGGCAGAGGTTGTCAGGCAGAGGTGCAAGGACCCAAACTGCTCTTGAGAGGCTGCTAAGCAGAACCCCTAAATCTCCACGAAAAGCAAAACTGTGTTTGGTGTCCTTTAAAATTAGAGAAGGAATGTAAGTAACGTTTCAGGCTAAATTACTGAGCTTTAGTACCAGTAAGTGAAGTGTAGACACCTGGAAAACTGACTTGTGTTCATCCACAAGCAGGCAGGCTACAGCACGGCCCGGAGAACAGGTGCTGGGCCCAGCCTGCCCTGCCGAGGGTCTGATCCGCCAGGCCTGGGCGAAGGCCCAAGAATCTGGCTTCCAACAAGTTTCCAGGTGATGGTGACACCCTAAGTAAGGAATTTCTGTGTTCTGGAGAAAGTCAAGTAAGGAGATCTGTCCACACGTGTTACTCACATTTTCAAAAGAAACTGTGACTAGTATCAGTTGGTCTGAAAGACACCATAAAATGAATTCTCAGAGTAATTACTGCAGATTTACCTAAACGCAGCATTAATTTATCTGAGTTCCATTAAGAGTGCCTCTTTCATCCTCGGATCCCTGGGCTAGCAGTAGGCAGCAGCACCAGAGAGGAAGAAAGCACCACTTGGTCACCACTGCCTTCAGGACTGAGTTAGGGCATGGCTTGGGAATTTAATGATGAAGACGCTATAGTCTCTGAGCCCAAACCACAAGGGTACCCTTCACACACTCTTCTTTCTTAAATAAAGGACACCAAACACCCAGGGTGGGCTGAAGGAATGCCAAGCACGAGACTATCGTTTCGTTGACACTGTGACAAATGGGCTGGCAGTCACCCCGCCAGGCCCGGTCCGAGGATCAGGGTACCTCTCCAAGCGTGCACAGCTCCATGATTATCCAGACAGGGTTCTCCGTGATGACACCAATCAGCTTCACAATGTGAGGGTGGTCAAACTGGCGCATTGTTACTAGGGAAAAACAGTTGTCCACGGTTATTCTTTTGATAGAGTAGTAGGTAAGGGTGGCTGATGTGTTCTGTGTTTTCTTGGCCTAGGCGCTCTGTAGAAATAAACTAGTTGAGACAGAAGTCATTGCCAGGATTCGTCTCGTCCTTAAGATACCGGATACAGAGATACAGGAACAGGATTAAAGACAGACTTTTTTATTTTGATGAAAGTACAATACAATTTTGATGAAAATGATATTGATAAGGTCAATATGACTCACTCTATGACTTATTAATTTATTGGACTGTTGGGTGGTAAATATTTCCTGAAATGGAGGGTAGAAGGCATTTGTTCCATGTCCATGTAATGAAGGACACCGAGATTCAATCACACGACCAGTGTCCACTGAGCGCCTCTCATGGGTTCAGTGCTATGCTGGGCACTGGGCCTGAGCAGTGAGCACAGCAGACACGGTCCTAGCCCCGTGGAGCTTAAAGCCTAGAGAGGGGTAATACTCATTTCTAGGCAATGTTTATTTAGTTTCAAATACTTAGGAAGGAGAAAACGTGGTCCTGTGACAAACCCTCCTGAGGAAAAACTACTCTAAGCACACGGTCAGATGTGAAAGCAGGAAGGACATCCCAGCCTAAGGGCAGGTGGAAAGAGATGTGTACAAACAGGACAAGGTCCTGGCTCTCCACGAGCGTGCTCTCAGCAGAGAGCAGCTACCCACGCATGGCCCTCCCCGAAGTCTCATCCCGGGCGTGTGAGCGGAGAGCCGAAGGGGCAACAGTGCAGCAGGGGCGGGGCACCGGTCATGGTCCCGGCTCTCTCCCTGGTCTGTGAGCTCCCTCAGGCAGGGACCGTGTCTGTCCTGCTCACCCCCAACTCTAGGGCCTGGTGGCACCCGGGCTGGACTCATTTCTACATCTGCCCAATCCCAGTGCCAGGATGCTCAACCGCACAGGTACCGAAGGATCACGGGGACAGTAGATCTGTCTACCTTTACACCCCAAACATCATGGCTTACCTGGAGCAACGTGTGGATATGGGCCTCTACAGATACAGGTATTAATTTGCAAGGCAAGATAGTAACTGTAGTTGTCACAGACAAGTCAGAATATTATTTTTCTTACTTCTTCAGAGACAGCTTGTATTTCACAGATAAAAAAAAAAATCACATGGGGTTCCACAGAAATTTCTAGAAACTTACAGGCTTCTTGAAGGAATTTCTCTCTCACGCTGTCCGAAGTACAGTTTTTACATGTTTTAATTGCAACCGCCAAAGCTGGATTCTCCTGTGTTAGGGAAATTTCAGAATCACACACACATGCAAAAAGAGCTTCTCTTAATGAATCAATGGGCACGTTCATGAAAAGCTGTGTGTTTGGCAACTATGTGGATTCTGGACCAGACAGAATCAGAATTGAAAATCTCAAGAGAGGAACACTTCAAATACTCTACAAAATCCCCAGAAAAAAAGTCCAGGCACGTTAACATGTTGTAGGCAATTCATTCACTCATCGTGCCACAAACATTCACTTTCTGCTACGTGCCAGGCAGCCTTCCAGATGCTCAGGATATACCAGTGAACAAAAGGCAGCGAAGTTCCCTGTTGTGCTCAAGGTTACCTTCCCACTAAGAACAGACAACACACACAAGAGACCAGCGGATCACAGGGTACCTTAGTGGGCAGCAGTGCTGTGGACAAGGAAGGAGCGTGTCAGGCTATGTGAGGCAGAGACCAGGACAGAAAAACCAAAGGAGGGAGGGTGGGACTGGCCGAGAGCTGGCCAGGGGCACAGCCGGGGTCATGGATCCTCTGGGACCTGAGGGCTGGTGTGGTGACGGGCCGGCGGCTGGGACAAGCTGGGGGCAGGGTGGGGTGTTGAGACGCTGAGTTCAGGTTTCTGGTGAGACAAAGGGAAGAGGCAGCTCAGCTAGGACTCGGACGTGAGGGGCATGAGATGGCAGGGAGCCGGCGTGGCACACAGGAGGGCGGGGAAGGAGAATCTGGGGGGAGTTCAGGGTCAGATTCGGGCTGGAGGAGATCCTCACGGCCAGGGGCATGAGCACTGCACCCGGGCACCCTGCGGCACGGGAGGTCAGGGAGACGGGGAGACACGCAGCAGACTAAGAGGGTGACCGGCAAGGTGGAGAGAAACCAAGAAGGCATGTGGACCTGCTTGCCCAAGAAGCTGACGCTTTCTTGAATGAGTTCAAAAGAGCTTAAGAAAGACAAGAAATGAGGTCATTCCAAGCCTTGACGGAATACCACGCATGATTATAATTAGCAACTTAATTGCTTATCTTATCCTTGGCTCTACGTTGTCTCTGCCAGAACCACGTATTCTTCACACTGGAGATTCTCGTAAGGTGCCTCGCACTCTGTTAAGGAGGCAGGAGCGACGAGGACAGGACGGGAGAGAGAGAAGCGGGAGAACGTGGGAACGGACACCCTCACCAGAGGGTCCCGAGAGGGGCGGGGAGGACAGACGAAGGCGCCATCACACAGGCGTGAGGAGCATTCAGCCACCAGGCCCCAGAGGAGGGCTGTATAGTCTTGCTGTCATTAGTTTTCTCAGTAGGTTTTGAACCTTTCTGTCCTTTTTGTAAATTATCTCACTGGGCTTACAGGTTATCTGTAAGAGAGCCTGACAAGGTACGGAGGGGTCCAGGATACCCATTTTATAGACAGGTCAGCAGAGGCTGACAGGTTCAGCCGCTTGCCCAAGGTTGTCCTGCTGTAAGTGGCATGTCCCCTCTGCAACAGGGACCATGGCAGTGTGTATGTGATGAGCAGCAGTGGGTGGCAACAGCTCGGGACGGATGTCACAAGACCCGGCTCTGAAGCGGTGCCCACTCTAGATTCTCGAGTGTTGATGAAGCCTGGATTTGCCAAGCTCTCTCAGAAGAGTCCTTGCTACTGGATCGTGAGTCGCTGTCCATGTCAACAGCAGCCTCAGGCAGAAAAGACTGGCCAGGAGGACAGTGGGAAGACAAGACATTGCTTCCTGTCTCCTCAGGGCGGGAACATCCCAGGGCTCAATCCCAGGGCCAGCTTGACGCGAGGCGACCTCACTGAGCGCCAAGTCCTACCTCTACGCTGACTTCCAAATTCTCTCTCCAGTCCTCACTTCGCCTTTCAGTCCAGACTGATATCCAGCCCTCCCATGCCCTGTCTTGACGAGGATGTAGCGAAGTTACTTTAAACTTGATACGACCTAAACAAGACTCCAGATATCCCACTATGATGGTTCATTTTATGTGTCAAGGTGACTGGGCCACAGCGTGTCCAGATACTTGGTCAAGCATATTCTGAGTGTTTCTGGATGGATTTAACACGCAAACTGATAGACTGAGTGAAGCAGTTTGCTCTCCCTAATGTGGTGGGCCTCATCTGATCAGCTGAAGGCCTGAATAGAACAAAAAGCTGATCCTCTCCTAAATAAGAGGAAGTTCCTCTTGCCCAATTACCTTTGAGCTGGGACACTGCTTTCTTTCCTCCCCTTTGGACTACACCTGCACTGGCTATGTTGGGTCTCAGGCCTTCAGACACAGACTGGAAGTAAGAAACTGTCAGCTCTCCGGGTCAGCCCTCTGTCGTGGCCCTCCCCTGCGTCCCTCTTTACTCAAACCTCTCACACCCAGCCTTATTTTCTATGCTCCAACATCATTTCCCGTGGCTGCCCTTCTTGTTCTGCCTGACTGGAAAGCTCTTCCCCCGGAAAGCTGCGCTGAGATCCTTGGTCAAACTGTCCCGTCTAAAACAGCGCCCAGCCGCCTGCCCTGCACTCTAGCTCCCTGCCGCTCTGCACAACCCTCACCACAAGCTCCAAGCACAGAACTGTCCGTGCCACAGGCCCTTCAGGTTATTGCAATGTCACTATTCTACACATTTTTATTATATATTACAATATACACATAATGTACACTGTCATTTACATCATTACTATTTCCCATCACTGAAATGTAAGTTTCAAGACATAGGTACCTTGTTGTCTTCTTTGCCAAAAGTTCCCCTTACAACAGTACTGAGTTCACAGTAGGTGCTCAGTACGTATCTGCAGAGTTAATGAACGCTATATTAAAACCTTTCTTTTGAATGCAGATGCCATTTACAAGTCAGCTGTGGCATATCTTAAAAATACCTTAAACTGTATTAATTTTAGATTTCACACTAATTGCATACCATGTAATTCCAGAATACTAAACATTTTCAAACAAGAGAAATATAAACAGCAAAATGACTCTAACACAGACGTGGGTCGCTTTCTTAACCTGCAGAGGAGGCATGCCTGCATGTAGGATTCCAGGTGGTAATGGTGGCCTGTCCCTGCAGCACAGTCGGGGCTACCACAGAGTGTCTGTCTGCTAAATGTCTGGGCTTAGAGCCTTCTTAGACGTGCTAGCCATATACCACGCTAAGATGTAACTACTCTGCTTTGAATGAGTTAGTCTTTGTTTTCCTTAACTAGTTGGTAAACTTCTTTAGGACCAGGACCATGAATTCTACCTCGATCTAAACACAGGGCCAATTGGTATAATCTAGAAATGACCCAAAATGTCCTTTTTAACAGGAATTCTGAATAACAACAACAGAAACTTCTGTAAGACCACAAAACCATCATCAATCCTGTGAATTCATACTCAAATAGTGTCCATGATCCTTTAAGCAAGACAGTCTGAGGACATGCAAAAAAGTCCTGCTCTCTAAAACTCACAGTTTCAAATGATGCTGGACCTAAGATTCCGCGGGGGGCACCTGTATAAGGGGCCATATGTGAACAGAACCAGGGTCTTGGCATCTGTCTGTGGAGTAGCACTTGTGGCTGTCTGCCCCCAAACTGGACAGAAGCCTGAGGAATGCTGAGCTGTGAGGGGCTGGCCACAGAGATTGGAATGTTGGAGAAGTCAGTTCAAAGTGAGCAAGACCAGAACCTAAGCAAAGTTGGTTTTTTGTTGTTTTTTTGCCTAAAAAACCTTTAAAAAGAGGCGGATTCAAACAGAGCTGGGTTATTGCTCAAGGTGTGACTTTAAAAAACCTTTAAAATACAAGCAATATTTAGGGGAGAGAGAGGTCTTTTCAATGTCCCTGAAAATACCACATTGGTGTCCAGTATGCCTCCATAAAAGATATGATTAGGCTCTAAATTATTAACAACGAATGGACCTTTAAAAGACTTAAATAAATCCAGAGAAGGGCTATTCTGGGATTCATCAAGAGAAAAAGATTTAAAAGCAGATTTTTTAAGGCTAAGATAATAATGATGAAAGAATGTGCAAGTGATCAGCAGAGGTTCAAATAATAAGAAAGAAGCCCGATCACCCTGCCAAATGAAGGCAACAGTGCGTGTGAACGAGCCTCTAGATGGGAGTCCGTGTTCACTGGCTCTGAGAATGAACTCCAGGTCCCCGACCCCGTCTCCTCGCCTTCCGTGGCCCTCCCCGCGCACACCACTGTGGCCGCACTGGCCTCCTGTGGACTGCTCCCCTCTTGCTTCAGGGCTCTGCTCCGGGTCACCTATCAGAAGGCCTTCTTCTGCCATCTCACGGGGAGAGTACCCCGACCTCCTCTTGCCCATGATTCCTCAGAGCACTTCTTCCCCACTCGACAATCAGTGTATTTGTTTTTGTCTGTTCCTTTCTGTCTCCGAGAGATTTAAGTTCCGTGAGAGCAGAAATTGTGCCTGTTTTGTTCATTTTCATATCCCCACCACTTCACTGTCACATGGTAGGTGACTGAGAAATTGTTGCTGAAATAATTACTGGAGTCTCCAGTGGCAGATTCCTGGCCGTGACATGTGTGCTGAGCTACAGTCTGATGATTAGTAAAAATCCTTAAAGAAATGTTACTTGATCTTATAGAACACTAAAGAACATAATCTGGAAAAAGGACTTAATAGGAGCCCCAAGAAATGAGTAGATTCCTTTGCACTATAAAATTAGACACCCACATTAAAAACAAAATAAACACTCAGGAAGATACTCAACAAGAAGTGTGAACCCTGGTATTTTTCTGGGGGCTGGGACTCATTCAACAAATATTTAATAAACACTAGACAATGGATATTAAAAAAAATGTTCTCTTGTATTTTCACAACTGAAATGGGTTATTTTATTTATTTACTTATTTATTTATTTAGATTTTTATTTATTTGACAGAGACACAGCGAGAGAGGGAACACAAGCAGGGGGAGCGGGAGAGGGAGAAGCACACTCCCCACTGAGCAGGGAGCCCGATGCGGGGCTCGATCCCAGGACCCTGGGATCATGACCTGAGCCGAAGGCAGACGCTTAACAACTGAGCCAACCCAGGCGCCCCTGGATTAGTTATTTTAAAAATGCATGAAATCAAGCCCATGAACCCTGCCATTATCTGTGTGGCCCTGGTAAGTCACTGAATTCTAGAGATTGCAGGGAGCTCCAAGGGTACCGAGTTCAACTGCCAGAATCCCGAGTCAAGAAGCCGCACCTCCCTCCCATCTCAGGTGGGTGCAGCCAAGTCTAAGAGTTAGGAAGTCTTTGAGTAACTTTAGATCCAGGGCTTTTCCTACCGCATTTTGCCCCAAAGAACAGAGTTAGGAGAATTAGGAAGATAACACAGAGTAAAAAAAAAAAAACAACAACTGAAGAGAAGTTAACAGCTAGAAATACATAATAAATGATAGAACTGTATATAAGTACAAAGGCAGAGGCTTTCAAAACTGAAGTTTTAAAAAATGGAACCTCTAATTTGTTTAGTGACATTGGTGGCAACAGTCTGTTGTTCCTGACAGAAACAAAAAACAAAAAAAAAACCCTTTAGCTCTTTGGTTACAAAAGTAATGATCACTATGTCACTAGTGCACATGTGAAGGATGTGAAAAAGTGACAGATATGGAGTTACTATGGAAAAATGCCATTTGCACTTTCCAAAGCAGGGGTGACACAGAAGGTCAATCATCTGTGTTACTATAGACCTTCCTTGACTCAAGATGGAGTTACGTCCGGATAAACCCATCATAAGTTGAAAACATCCTGAGCTGAAAGTGCGTGTGATACACCTAACCTCCCAAACAACACAGCTGAGCCGCACCCACCTTACCCATGCGTAGAAGCGTTCACACGGGCCTGCAGTTGGGCAGAACCATTTCCCACAAAGTGTACTTTATAATGAAGTGTTGACAGCTCATGCAATTTATTGAATCCTCCACTGAAACTGACAAACAGAACGGCTGTGTGGGCGCAGAATGGTTGTCAGTCTGTCGGTGATGGGCCCTCACGATTGCGGCCGCCACCCTGCATAAGGACAGGGGATGTGCATCCCCCTAGCCTTCAACAGGATCCAAGTTCAAAATTCCAAGTATGGTTTCTACTGCATGCAAGTTGCTTTTGCATCATCATAAAGTCGAAAAACTCTAAGTTGAACCACCCTTAAGTCCAAACATTGTAAGTTGGGGACAGTCTGTACACTCTTCTTAGCACCATCTGTGTACACCTGTTACTATTCTAGTTAAAAAAAGTTTCTTGAGCAAGTATGTACTATTATTTTCTCTTTTTTTTAAAGTAGGCTCCATGCTAGGTGTGGAGCCAAACGTGGGGCTGGAACTCACAACCCTGAGATCAAGGCCTGAGCTGAAACCGAGTTGGACATTTAACCAACTGAGCCACCCTCTGTTTTAAAATTACCGATCTAATAAAAACACATACGATAGCCAGTGCTGGTAGGGATGCAGAGAAATGGGCACTCTTACCCGCTGCTGCTCAGAATGGAAATGGATAGCTTCTTTGGAGACAGTCTGGCAGTTAGTCAAAGAGTGGAACAGTTACCATGTGACCCAGGAATTCCACTCCCAGATATCTACTCAAGAGAACTGAAAACTACCCACACACAAACTGTACAGGAGTGTTCACAGAGGCATTACTCGTAACAGCTAAGACATGGTAACACCCCAAATGACCATCAACAGAAAAACGGACAAACAAAAAGTGGTCTATCCATACGATCGAATGTTATTTGGCAGGGACAAGAAATGAAGTCCTGATACATGCTACAATGTAGATGACCCCTGAAAACATGCCAACGGGAAGAACCCATCATGAAAGGCCACATATAATCATATGAGTCCACTGACATGAAACATCCAGAACAGGTTAATCTATAGAGGCAGAAAGCACATGAGTGGTTGCCAGGGGCAGGGGGAGGGTGATATGGGAGTGACTGCTAATGGATGTGGGGACCTCCTTTTGGGGCAAAGAAAATGTTCTAGAATGGACTGGGCAGTGGACTGTACAGCTCGAGCAATATTCTAAGAAAACCACTGAATTTTATGTTTTAAAGAAGTTAATTTTATAGTATGTGATTTATACCTCAAGAAAGCTCTTATTAAAGAAAAAATTTTTTTAAATGTGTTGATCTCTTTTGGAGGGCAGTTTGGGGCAAATGAATATTCTTTTCTTGAGGATGCAGGTGAGCAAGAATACTGGCCACCTGCTGTTGACGCTGGTCATCTATTTGTCGATTCTGTGCAATGGAACAATCACTGTGGAATCTGTTACTGAGGAGAGAGGCTAAGAGATTAAAATGAATAAAAGACAGACCCAGCCCTCTAAGAGCTTAGTGTGCCATTTTTCTGTTTCTGAATATAGCAAGTAGGCGGACATGTATGACGAGCTTTGTAAAAGACAAGCTCAAAGAACTGAGGACTCATGAAGACAAACAAGAGGCAATAGTCAAAAGTAGCTCAGGTTTCTGGTCGCCGCAGAGGACTTACTGGGCTCATGTAGACGCCTTGATGGACGTCTCCAAACTGGCCTTCCCCGATGCACCGTCCAAGCTCGATTCTTTCTCTCTGAATCTCATAATCCCTGGCTGCAAAACACGATATACGTAAGTACAATATTCCAAATGTCGAAATTACACTTGATGCGCTTTTTGTTTCATTATCATCCCTGAGTACAAATCGCACTGGTGGCACATCATTCTATGAAAATGCTTTAAACAGAGTGGAATTCTCTTAAACGGTATTTTTAAAGGAATTACATAAACTGTTATGGCATCGCGTGAACTACCAAAACCATGTGAGTTCTATTAAAGGTAGATTTTTCATATTTTTAATGTTGATTTAGTTTATATCTGATAGTTTTCTAAACAGTTTCTCCAAGTAGTATTATATGCTTAAGTAATCAGTGCTATTAGTTTAGGTATTAATATATGAAAGGCTAAAAAACACAGTTATTTAAAGCAATTATTTAACAAATAACTGGTTTGAAAATATGGAGGCAACAAAAAAACTGTGTCACGAGAAACTTTGTTTTAAAAGTTTAAGAGTTTTCCACTTTCTTGTGATCCTATCTATATTATTCACAGAGCTAAAAGAGTTTAAAGAGGTCACTTCTAAAAACTAATTTCAAAATTAGGTGACTTGGAATCAAGGCTGAACATATCACATTATACATGAAGAGTATTTTATATTTTTGAGAGCATTTGCCTCCAATTAATGTATTAAGTTACTGTGATTTTATACAAAACCAATTGTTTAGTAGGCTGCTGAGGCACACGGAAGTAAAATACCCATTAGAAATCTCGTCAATCGATTCTAATCCAATTAACCACTTAGTATTTTGATTTCCTCCAGCCGGGAAACCTGTCTGCACAACCCACACTGTGCGCATTCCATTAGTGTAGCCGCCAATGGAATAAAACGATAGCCAAATATTTCAAAATCTCTCCCTGATTTATCAAATTCTAAACCGTACAGAAAAATCCAACCCAAATTTTAGATGGTTCTTTTCCTCTTTAAAATCACTTTAGCTAGTAGTTCCATTGGTTTAACAGCATGAATAAACCAATGGAAAGTAGTTTAAAGATAAAAGTTAACTGAAAACTGAAACATCCCACATCATTCCATAGGTTGCAATTGCAAGCAAATGCAGTTATTTTAAAGGAATCCTGTTACCTTCATCTATTCCATAGCTTTCTGTATTGCAATTAAGGGAGAAAAAAATTGAAGACCTTGCTTAGAAATAACTAATAGCAATTAGGTTAACAACAACAAACTCCAAGAGTACATTTCAATATTTACTTTGCTATATTTTAACCACAAACATCAGTAAAAAAAAAAAAAAAAAAAAAAAGAGGACTAGACACAAGCAAACTGAATCTCCTCAAATTACCTCGATGTGATGTCAACAATGATTTTCAATCTCCATCTCGTAAATTCCTGCATGATAACTCATTTTTGTGGGGTCTGGACCTTTACTACTCAACACTGAATAGTAAGTACACAAATACAAATTTGGATAGTCTGCAGGGATGTATAAATGACTAAATGGCTAACCTAAATTTAAACATTTTCCATGTTGCTACTGCAAGTCAAAATGCCCAGGTTTCAGCTCTTCCTTCTGTTTTGAACCACTCTCTAACACAAGAGCTCTTACAAGGGGATTCAGGGTGCACCTGGGATAATGCAGGTCTATGTTGGTAATGCCTCTTCAACGTGTACAGTTAATCTAAATGAGCGCATCTTTCAAAATAGTTACACAACAGGGTAAATAAAGTACCCAAAACATGTATTTTATAAATATGTACGGCTCTACTGAAATCAGGACCTCAGATGTTGAATTATTAAGGCCTCTGAGGCTGAACAGTAGACTCATAATTGGGCCTCTTTAAGAGGGAGGTTTAAGACTTTTTCTTTTAAAAATTTTATTTATTTATTTGACAGAGAAAGACACAGCGAGAGAGGGAACACAAGCAGGGGGAGTGGGAGAGGGAGAAGCAGGCTTCCCGCGGAGCAGGGAGCCCGATGTGGGGCTCGATCCCAGGACCCTGGGACCATGACCTGAGCAAAAAGCAGACGCTTAACGACTGAGCCACGCAGGTGCCCTGGTTTAAAACATTTTTTAAAAATAAAAAAAATAAAAATAAAAAAAATTTTTTTTTTTTTTTTTTAAGTAAACCCTACGCCAACGTGGGGCCTGAACGTAAGACTGAGAGATCAAGAGTCACACGCTCTACTGACTGCGTCAGCCAGGCGCCCCTACAACAGTTTTTTCAAGGTGAATGAAATTTCAAGTGTGTCTCCAATTCAAGATCTGGGACTATATCCTCCAATACGAGATCTGGGGCTTCCAGGTTCTCTTCAGTCAAGCAGCAGCACACAACAGAGAGAAGCAGAATGCTGGCGTTCCTAGGCAGCAGGAAGGGTATAACTGAAGCCTCTCCCTCTCCACACCTCCCATCCTGAGCTGCAGCGACTGGCTGCACTGGAGGCGGGGAGCGCTTTTTAACTGGTTAGTCAATGGCAATAAAGAACAAAGTTTCAAAGGGGAAATGCAATTCATTGAATATGCGTATTCAAAGAAGTGAATAGACATGTGTATATATTTATTTAACTTTAAATAATACAATCATCTACAGAGAGGCTATTCTGTCATCAATAAAGGTTGTATTACCATAGAGTCAGGAAACAAGATTACGAAAAACCTGTAACTAAGCAGACTTACTACAGATATTTGAGCTTTAGGTTTCTGACTTTAGACTTAGTCAAATATGAAATAGAATTCTAAAGGTTGAAGAGAATATTTCTGTCATGCACTTAATGAGCTATTAAAGATAGTTCTAAAAAACAATACCTAAAACTTTTAAATGTAAGATATTTAAAAGTTAAATACTGTCAAATCTGAACAAGAACAAAATCAGAAGCCTACTTACTTGAGGGCATGGTGTAGGTATCTTCTTCGTCTATAATCTCAGCATAATCATCTGTTTCTGCAGGAAAGGAAGCAGATATGTTGGAAGAGGTTAAATATTTGACCTCCTGGCCTTTAATAGAATTAGAAAACGCAAAATGAGCTGCCTAAATACCCTACTATGCCAACATATTCTTAAAACACTATTCCCCAATTTTTGCTCACACATGAGTCATTTATGGAAATAAAAGTGACATCATGGTGCAGTCTGCTATAACACACAGACTTGTTTCTTGGGGAGCACACAGCACTGGCACAGAGAGCCCTTGTGAAGAACGGAAAGACGTGGAGCATCTACGACCAGGACTCAAAGCCCCCCATCTGTACCGACTGCAAAACTCTCCCTTGACTGCACCAAATTCATGTTTAAACCCACACTTCAGTCTCCTGGGATTTCTCCAAACAAGACTGGTATTTCAAAAACTGAGAATCTGCCATTATTCATAACTAGACTCTACAGCAGATTCTGAAGGCTGGCCTCTTGGAAAACAAAAATGACGGCCTGACTGTTGAGTAGATTAAGTGGGTAACGTATTTCGTTTGTTCAGGGTGGAAGCAGCCCAGGAATTTATCTCCTGTCACTTTGCACCCAGATGTCTAAGGAGTACACATTAATGTCAAAAGGGTAAAAGATCTAACAAAAAGAATGAAATGACAAGAAATGGCATTATTAAAATGAGTTCTTTTTGAGGTGATGTCAAGGAGTTGCAGTGTTTCCACTACTCCTTTCAGTAATACACTGATTTAGAAATCCACCTCCATCAATGGGGAAAATTATTTTGAAGAAAACAACCCTCACTTGGACAACAATCATGCTGACTTACGCCCTGCCTGTTTTTCTGTAACGAGGAAAAGCATTAGCTGCTCCTCGAGTACGGGTTTAAGCTGCTGGGCCAGGAGAGGAGGGGCAGTACTTCCTGAATTATCTTTGAGAAGAGCTCTTCAAAGAGAAAATCTGCCCAAGCATCCACCTTTAACCCCAGAAAAACTAAAAGCTAAATGTTCTTCCTTTTGTGCTGCTCTTACTACTTCAGTCAGGTATTAAAATTATAGAAAAGAGAGAATATATGTAGTCTACACTCTTTAGGATATCAATCGTTCCACGTATTGCAATGGTAATGATTGAGATCAGACCTAAGAGTTACTGGAAGAATTTAGTTCTTAATTAAAAACGATTAAAGTAAAAAAAAATTCAGCTGGTAGAATATGAAGTCAATAAATCAATTTTCCTTAAAGCATTTAGTAAATGTAAACTATTCCTAAGTCCTACGTGAAAGGTGGATAATCTCTATCATTCTTACATGTTCTAAGTAACCTACTTACAGGATTAAAGAAAAACATTTAATCTACCCCAACCCTACATTCTTTTATTTCTCTGTTTCCCCCTCTTATCCTGTTCTCAGTGAACGGGCATGTTCTAGCCTACAGTTTTGCTTTTGTGTAGGCGGGCTCAATGAAGGACGGTGGGAAATGGTATCCGGGGACGGAAGGGAATCACTAAGGCACTTTACGAAAAAGGACCAAGCAGAGGAGGAATCTACACGAGTAGCTGAGACAAGAGAAGCAACATGTCACACACATGGCATCTACTCATTGCCTTCTCTCCTTATTCTGTAATTTATACCCTCCCTGAGAAAGCTACCTAAGGAAGAATTTCCACAAGCAACAGACGCTACCCTCCCTGCCTTCTTTCCTACAAAGCACGCACCTGCAGAGGACAGATGCGGTAGGTGAACCTGGGTGGCAGGACCCTGGCCGTGACAGCTGCCAGACCCCCGGCTCCTGCCTGCTCCCCCCGCTGCCCTGTTCCCAACCCCTGGCCCTGGCTCTAGGCTCTACTGAGGAGATGCCATGGATCAATCAACAGCACATGGCTGTGGGGTCACTGCCTGCCTGATGGAGAAGGGCACAAAGCTGCCTCTCGCCCAGGACTTACCACGTGCTGGAGCTCTTGCTGGCTCAGCCAGAAATTCTGGTTTCAGCCCAAGTGTTACCCAGCCAGAGACCTCGCCTCCAACTGACCTGCCCCCCACCCCATCACTCTTCATCATGCTGCCTGGTTTGCTTGCCTCAGTCCTCATCACTACCCGCTAGCTGGCAGTCCTTGGTTCCTTGGCCACTGTCTGCCCTGCTCCAGACGGAGAGCCCAGGGGAGCACAGCACTTCTCCACATCTAACACGGGGCCCGGCACAGAGAAGGGGCCAGGTCCGTATTGGCTGAACAGAGGACGGCTTCACTGCAACCGCGTGGTGAGGGGACTACAGCTGAGGCAAAGACACAGTGTGGCCTGTGCAGGGCCGTGCAGCCCGGATGGGGTGGAGCTACGGTGCACTGGACAGGCCCAGTCCCTGCGTTCAGGGGCAGCCCACGCCTCCTGCGAGGCCACCTCACCTGTCTGTGCTGCAGCTGGACCCTCACGTGGACAATGGGAACACACAGCCACCTTGCAGGGTTGTTATGAGGATTACAGGAGATACATACAAAGTCGAGGTGTGGACCTGCACATGATAGCTGATCACAAAATCGTAGCTCCTTGAGGTTTTGCTTCTTCTGTGGGCTCTACAGGAAGAACCTGGCAGCGGAGAGGTTCCTGCCTGCTGAGACTCTGGGTCGGCCCCTCTGGAGTGACTGACTGTAATGGCTTCTGGGACAGCCTCTTTTTAGAAAAGCCTCACTTGAAATAACCACCTCTGAAACAACTCTGAAGCCATAAAAATAAAATGGCTAATAGATACCAGGCTAGCATACAACCCTGATTTGGGAAAAATCAAGTTGCAGATGCTTTAATTAATTCACACAATCTAAGAAAGAGCCTGTAATTTTTCCCTCTCAATGCTATGTGAATTCTAAATAGAACCTTTGGGGATATCAAAGCTGTCTGGGAATTACTCAGGGTGACATCTGGGGTGTAGGCCGTGTACTGTGGTGTAATAGGACTAGAGAATTTTCACTGCAGCTAACAGTGCTTGTGTCCTCTGGGAACAGAGCCACTGCTGCTGAAGGGACAGACCTACAAAAGTGTCACTGTGACCTACAGAGGGGCTCTCAAGCTGCAACACTTGGCATAGTTCTCCAAGAATTCTTGATACTGATTTGGCTCTCTTCTTCTTTCCTGGTTTTTAGGATTATAGGATTTTATGGTACTGACATGAGAGGTATTTTTACACACTTAAGGGCCCCTGAAAAACTGGAGCCCAGCCTGAAACTGCCTGCCCCCATGATACAAGGAAAAGAAACATAAAAAAAGGAAACAGGTTCTAGATCTGGGCACAAATAAGGGAAGGCAGATCCGCTTACGGATGATGGCGGCAGCATTACTGAGAACGCACCATACTGCAGACACTGCTAGAAACTGTGATGGCTTATCCAATGAGGTGGTACTGCTACCATCATCCCGCTTTGCAGACCGGAAACTGAGGCTCCCAGGGCACACGTGAGTTCCCCAAGATCCCAGTGCCAATCAGTGGTGGGCTGGTATTCATAGCAACACTCAGGTACAGAGCCTCATCCCGTATTATCCTCCACAACGTTTATAGGGACTCTTACTTGTCTTTAAAGGTTTTTTCTTTTGTCATCTCTGCACCTGATGTGGAAATGGAACTCACAACCCCGAGATCAAGAGTCGCACACTCCACTGACTAAGCTAGCCCAGCGCCCCTGGGGACTTTTATTTGTGAGATCAGATACCCTATGCTATGAAACTATGGAAGATTCCTCTAGGGGTATTTTGGGAACCTCCCCCCAGCCCCCAACACAGGCAGAGTTCTGCTCCAGAGATGTTCACAAGATGGGGGCCTGTGTATTTGGGAGACTGTTTCAAGGTACCTGGTCCACTAATCAAATACTTCAAAATAAACATTTTTAAAAATGGAGATTCCTGAAACCCTGTATAACATTATAATTTGAAAGGTTAGGTAAAATCAGAAAGAGGAAGACAACGCAAAAAGGACAGAAACTGACAGCTCAGAAATCAGGAGAGAAAAGAGCCAGGTTCTCCTCTTAGAGCACGGTAAACAGGCTGCATCATGTGGCTACAGAGACCCTGACACAGCGTTCCTGTGCCCCAGTCCCCTGCTCAGTCACCCAGTCTGAGGCGGCTCAAGTCTGGGGCGCGTGAGCCGGTGCAGCTCACAAAAGCCTTCAGGCGCATACACTTCTCAAGTGCTGACGATCTGCTCAACCTTCCACGGAAGAGGGGGTCGGTGGTGTGGTTTGTTGCAACTCCTCTACTCGCCGGGCAGAAAAATGGGGCCCCTTCCCCCTGGTGGTGCTTGGGCCCTGGCTTGGACACCTGCAATGCTAAAAACCTGCTCCCCTGGCCGTCCTCCCTCAGGGAGTCGGAATGAGGCATCTATCCCACAGAGCAACATCTCTACAGTGACAAGACTACTCGGGCAATTCCGTGGGACTCCCCTCCCACCTGGTAACTGCCATGTGACGCTGGCCCAGAGGCCCTGGCAAGCAGGGGAAGAGCTCTCTTCTAGGGAGCTGGGAAGGGCCCCGCTGTGCTCTTTCACATCAACTGCTTTATGACCTCGACCAGGGTCAGCAGCTCTTTCCTGTCACAGCTTAGACGGCAGGCCTTTCAGACTCTGCTGGTCACCGTCTCTGCTGCCCCTGTCTGCCCCTGAGCAGCCTTCTGTACACAAGTGGGTGTGACTATGCTCCAGTGAAGGCTCACCTGTGGACACCGAAATGTGAATTTCATAGAGTTTTGATGCCAAACATACTATTCTTCTTTTGATTTTTCCCCAATCATTAAAAAAAGTAATAATCATTCTGTGCTCCAGGGGCAATACAAAAACAAGAGGTGGGCTGTATCTTGCCCATGGGCCTCAGTTTGTGGACCCCTGACCTAGACCAAGTGACTAATGCCTTAAGGCCCAGCTTATTCATCTATAAAATGGGAACAGAAATACTTGCCCTATCTGATTGACAGAACTGGGAAAGTAAAACGTGGGAAAATGGTTTCATTACATAGAGCATGTGGGAATAACCTCATGTTTATAAACATTTGT